GAGGACTTTGCAGAGCACCCAGAGCATCACACAGTGAGACAGACTCCTATCTGGGACTATTTCTCTTTTTTTTACAGAACCTCAGCCCCACTCACTGGGTTAGTAGGGTACTGCCCTCATGGCCTCATTTAACTGTAAGCACCTTCCATATTTTAGCATGTCTTTGGTTGGGAATGTTTAAAACATAGTAGGCATTGTTTTTAAAATTAATATTCATCATTAAATATAAACAAAATAAAATTATTCCTATACTAACTTTTCACTATCAGAATGAAAATATTGAAGAAATGCTTTTTTTTTTCCTTCAAGGTTTGGGATTGAACAACTTTCCTAAACTCACTGGGATCTACCCTCACTGATCCAGCCGCTGTTCTGCTGGTTTAGGAATCTGTCATTCCCTCCAGATCTAACCCAAGGGTGAAAACACTGAGGCCCAGAGGTGGGCAAGCACCGCAGTGCTAGAGACCGCTTTCAGATGATTAACTTTAGAGTTTAAACTGTTGTCATCTCTGGTATTTTTCTAGTAATCTGATTTCTCCGATTTTTTATGTATGACTGTATGGAATTTGAGATCACTAATGTTGCAGTTAGTTTTAAAATTATGAGGTTCAGTAACCTGTGAGAGACCCCACTGTCTTCATGGTAGCCCCCAAAGGCAAAGGGCTCATGGGACAGGGCCCTTCCTCCATGGCCACTGTGAAGCTGCACCTTACAGAGGAATGTTACTTTTATAAAAGAGGTGTCTCTCCTGCCCTCCAGAGACTAAAGGTGAAGGCAGGCTTTGGCCTCATCAGCCTCTCAGGGCCCCAGGGAAGGCGAGGAGGGTGCCCTGGCTACAGCAGGTTCCTGCCCTCTGTGAGAGGTGTTTCTCAGGGAATTCCCAGGTTCCCTGAAGGCTACCCAGCATAGCAATGCTGGTTTCATTTTTATTTTAAAAACCTCCTGGTGCTTTTTCAATGGGAAGCTCAGAGTTGTTGCTATTGATAGCTGCTTCTCACAGTTGTGGTGGGCCTCGCCGGAATTCTTATCATTTTCCTTCTAAAAGGAGCTAAATCAGGAGTTTACAACCCTTGTTTTTGAGGGAGACATCAAGTTCTCCTCACGATTTGGCTTTAGCTTTGAGATCAGTTGGCCTGGGAAGAAACGTGATTCCCACAACTTGAGTCTTCTGAGGAAAAACACATCTACCTGACATTTTTGCTCGGTTAAAACTAAAGTGGGCATAGTCCATCAGCTGCCCTATGGGTCAGGGCAAGCCAATGTGCTGGCAGGGGAACCTGTTTAGAGTCCTGCTCATGTCTGTACACTGTACTATGTGAGATGGGGGGTGGGTGGGTAGGCACAGTGAGTGGATCTCTAGTGGGCCTGACAGCTTCCGGACAGTGAAACAGTGAAATCCAACCCTGTCTCTCTTTGCTTAGGTTCCTTTGAGAACCACATAGTAACATCTGTTTATTTCTGAATCTGTATAGCACTGTGCATGTGTATATGTGTTTGTGTGGGTATGGGCTTTCATGCATGTGTGTGCATGTGTGTCAGAGGAATGACCTTGGGTATCATCCTCCTTCAAGGGCTCTCTCATTGACCTGGAGTCCATTATGCTAGATTGACTGGCCAGCAAGTCCAGGGATCCTCTTGTCTCCACCTCCCCAGCTCTGGGAGTGTAGGCATGTGCTATCACACAGTGATGCTGGGGGTTGAACCCAGGTCTTCATGCTTGTATGATGAGCACTTTACTGCCTGAGCCCCTCTGCCCTCTACTCTTTATTTATATACCTTTGAGACAAGGTTCTTACTGTGTGGTTTAGGCTGGCCTTACACGTGCCACCTTTCTGCCTTAGCTCTTTGGTTCAGGGATTATCAGTGTGCACTACCATACTCGGCTCCAGTTCCATCCAGCACTGCAGGACCATTCTGGCCTTCCATAATCACAGCTCCTTGCTGGCTCCCATAAGGCTCAGTGTCTAGACACTGACTCTCTGTTCTGTATGTCTTCGTGCAACTGAAGTAGACTTTGGACCTGAAGGTTAATGCTCTGGGAGGGTAACCTGAGTTGCAGAGTGTCCTTTGGCTGTGGGTATGTGACTAAGGCTCCCTGCAGTTAGAACAGACACATTTATAGGATGGTAGTCTTTATGAACCTGTATGTAAAACACACAGTTCTAGTTTTCCCTGACTTTACCAGTGTGAACAGGATGTATGTAGCACTGCACTGCTTATCAGGGTGAGCAGGGGTGGGGGTGATCGTTTTCTCAGAACCTGCTTTATGTGAATTTTCTCAATGGCTATTGCGGAACTTCCTGCAGCGTTTTGCCCCAAATAAACACACAAAGACTTATATTAATTATGAAACTGTTGGTCGATGGCTGGGGCTTCTTATTGGCTAGCTCTGTTTTAATTACTAACCCATTTCTATTAATCTATTTCCACGTGGTCTGATTACCGGAGAAGCTTCGGCGCATCCTACCTTCCCCGTCTCACATGGCGTCTGCTGTCTGCCTACACTTTCAGAATTCTCCTCATCTCCTAGTCCCACCTATCTCCCTGCCTCTATTGGCCACAGTGTTTTTATTCAACCAATAAGAGAAACATATATACAGGACTTCCCCTTTATCTCCTCTTTTCTGTCTAAATAAAAAGAAGGGCTTTACCTTTAGCATAGTAAAATTATATATAACAAAACAGTTATCTAGCAAGAACTATAGTTAACAATATTTAGTTCATTAACATTGGCAAAATTTAAAGAAAATATTCTATCATCTATCTTATCTTGTGAGTCTAAAGTTTTATATGTAACTTATCTTTTATCATAACTAAGGAAAACCCTAACCAAACTATATACAACCTCTCAATATAATTTCCGGATCTCAATATGCAGAGAGAGTAAACTTACACATTGAAACTGCTGAATTTATTCCTGATGATACAGAATTAACTTCATTGTTTATACAATTACAAGACATAATCAGGAATAGGAGTCATCCTATGTATATAACACAAATCAGATCCCATAAGGGTCTGCCAGGCAATGATGAAATTAATCAGTTATTAATAGGAAGTGTGCTGGAGGCCTTGGAATTTCATAAAAAAAACACCATGTGAGTAGCTGAGTAGCAAAGGTTTAAAAAAGGATTTTTCCATTACTTGGTAACAAACTAAGGAAATAGTAAAAAAAAAAAAAATTGTCCTACTTGTTTCTTGTATAGCCAAACTCCTTTACCAGCAGATAGTAACCCTAAAGGATTACATAGAAATGAAATTTGGCAAATAGATGTGTTTCACTTTGCAGGATTTGGAAAATTAAAATATGTGCACCATACAATAGACACATTTTCACATTTTTAGGTTTTCAATGGGCAACTGCTCTGAGTTCTGAAAGGGCTGATTCTGTTATTACACACCTATTAGTGGTAATGGCCATTATGTGTATACCTGCACAAATAAAAACTGACGATGCTCCAGCAATTGGCAACGATCCCCTGGCCCACAGAGCCCTTTCCCTGTGTCCTACCTGTTCTGTACTGTAGGAGTCTTACCTTCCAGACAGGAATCACTGTCTAGTTTCCCATATCTCCTCGACAGCAGCCTTATGGCCGTTCTAATGGTCCAGTCTTGTTTACTTTGGGGAAGGGGTAGCTCATGGTTTCAGAGTCTTCAGTTCATGCTTGTCCTAATCATTTAGGGTCACTCCCAGAGCAGGACACCATAGTGGCATGAGCACATAATGGAACAAAGCTGCTAATTCCATAGCAGCCAGGAAACCTGGAAGAAAGAGGAAGGGCCAGATATAGAACACATGCTTCAAGCACACTCCAGTACCCCTTCCAATATTTCCACAACTTCTCAGGAACCCATCAAATTACTAACTTTTTAATGCTTATGTGTGTGTGTGTGTGCACATGTGTGGGCGTGCCACATTGCACATGTGGCAATAAAAGGACATTTAATAAGAGTTAGTTCTCTCTTTCTACTGTGTGGGTACCAGAGACTGAGCTCAGGTCATTGGGCTTAGTAGCAAGCACTTCTACCTGCTAAGTAATCTCACTGTATAATTCATAAATCATAAACCCATACAAGGATTGACCTGTCGATGAGCTGAAGCTCCATGATCAGTCATTTCCTTCCTCAGCTTCCTGAGTATCTGGGACATGTAACATGTGCTCCCATGCTCACATGTTTGTGTCTTTGGAGACCTGAGTAGCACTGGACCTTTGTTGTCTTTTTTTATTTTGTTTTCTTTCTGCATCCTTGCTATGTATATGTTGAGATGCGCTCTGTGATGTGGTAAGGATAGCCATCCCCACCCCCCACACCATTTCTGGTTTTTAGCTTGTTCTCCTGTCCATATGACCTTGGGAGTGGAGATGTGTCCCAGAGTCCCTACATAGCGTAGGGGTGCTGTTTGACACTGCAGCCCATTAGGGGAACTCAGACCCCAGACTGAGGTTTAGTAAAGGATAACTTTTTGTTGTTCTATTCAAATAATCAGCCTGGTTTCTCTTTGTATATACATACCTGTGTTTATAGCACACTCTTTAGGCTTAGCATGCCATGAGCATTTCTTCACAATATTAGGAACTGTTTCTGTTGGACATAGTAGCATATGCCTTTAATCCCAGCACTCAGGAGACAGAGGCAAACAGATGTCTGTTAGATTGAGCCTAACCTGGTCTAAATAGCAAATTCCAGGCTAGCCAGGATTACATAGAGAGACCCGTGTCAAAACAAAATAATACAACAAAAAGAAGAAAAACAGAAAAAACTCATTTGCCTAAATACAAATTGTATGGCTTCGTATTTCAGAATGCAAGTGAGTCATACCTTATCTTTACAGAGTACATGTTTTTAATATCTAGTAATTTGACTCAGTATAATTTTAAAAATAAGTGGTGTATGTTGAGACTGACCAGCAAATACTTGTTCCTGAAAGCTAAGCTTTGTGTGACTTGACTGACCAGTGACTAATCCCAGGTGACTTTTTCTCTCCCCCACTCCCATAGTCCCCGGCGGTACTTCCTGCTGTCCTCTCAGATGGCCATCCATCCCGAGTACAGAGAGGACCTGGAAGCCCTCCAGGCCAAACACAGAGAGTCGGTGTTGGTCCTAGACAAGTGCACCAATCTCTCGGAGGGTGTCCTTTCTGTCCGCAAGCGCTGCCACCAACACCAAGTCTTTGATTACCCTCAAGTGCTACAGGTGAGTGCCACCCAAGATCTTGCCAAGCTCAGGGCAGGTTGCTGCTGTGGAGTAAAACTGATCCCAGGAGCTGTTTTCTATAAGCAACTGAGCTAGTACCCAAGGGGAGAAATGCAGCTCCTTGCTGGAGGTGTAGACCACTGGGAGCTTGAGTGCATGGTATGTTTATGTGGTGTGGGGCCGCTTGATCTCTAAGGAGTAATAATCCTTTCACTCATTGCACTTCAAAATCAAAAGTCCCCTGGATTTCTAAGAAGCTGCATGGGCAAAGCACTCAAATGTGTCTTGCTTTTACCCCTGTGTTCATGGACTGGTCCAGAGAAGTGGCCTTCTGTAAGGTGTCCAGTTGCATCTCTAAGATATGACAGCCAACAGGGCCACAGTTGGTTTTCTCTGAGTGTTCAGGTCCATTCTTATTGCTCTGGCTTTGGGGTATTTTTGTCACCCACAGCATACCCTTCACTTCCACCATGGGTGTGTTCCTCCATAACCATAAGGCAAAGTGGCCCTTTGGGGACTATTTATAGGCAGACTATATGACATTCCAGGGCATGGGGGGCTAGGAAAGGAGAATCAGAGCCTAGCTCACTTAAGCATTTAAACTTGAGATATGTTAGTTTAGAACTATCAAAGAGGGAGGTTATTTTTATATGTTGATGTATTTATTAATTTTTTTTAAATCTCCAGAGAGCTGGCCCATCCTGAGATTGTTTAAATACTCTATCAAGAAGTGCTGTCTTCCCTCTGGAGTTTCTGGCTAATAATAGTGGCGATGCAGCCGGTGTTTATAGTAACCTTTTTCTGGACAGGAAGAACTATCAGCATGTGTCCACATCTGGTGGTGGCTCCTTGGGCAGGCAAGCTGCCCACTTGCAGCTCAGGCACCATGCATGTCCCACCCCCTCGGCTGCTTCTCTCCTGTGTCGAATCCATAGCTGTTTGGGAGGTTGACGTTCTCATGTTATCAGATTGTGTAGTGTGAACATGTATGTACATGTGTATGATGCATGTGTGTTCACACATGCACATGCCACAATACAGTGTGGAGGTTAGAAGAAAATTTTGCTGGAGTTGGTTTGCTCTGTCTACCCTGCAGGTCCCTGGGATCCCTGACTCAGGTCAGCAGGCCTGACAGTGGTGTCTTTACTGGCTGAGCCATCTCACTAGCCCCAATAGTACATTCATGTGATTCAGTGATCAGTTTTAAGGTATAATTTTCTTTTTTAAGATTACATTTATTTTGTGTGTGTGGACAAAGGGGAAACAAGATTTTTTTTTTTTTTAAACAGGATTTCACTGAGTAGCCCAGGTTGGCTTAAAATTCACTATCCTGCCTCATCTTCCCAAATACTGAGATTACAGATAAGAGCCACTTGGCTTGGCTTTTTCCCCCTTGACTTTAAAGATGAGGTCATGTTTTCTGAAGAGACAGAAAGTGGGGAAACTGGGAGTAGGAGAAATAGGATCTTATTTTGGGGTATGGTGTCCATGGTATCTGTTCTTCCTCTGTACATCTGACATTGTCCCAGTATCCACCACATTGAGAGGTATGAGAGAGTGAGCAAGGAAGAGATTTTTTTGAGAGTTCATTTTTGTTGGACTTCTTATCTCTTGAGCCTATCATTTTACTGCCTTCTCAAGGCTCTGCGCACCTTTAATGAATAGCTTCTATAGGCAGACATTGCTAGGGCCTTGGGGCCTAAAAGGAGAACAGAAATTTCAGACCTTCCTTATGAGGGCCCTCTAAAGGGACTGTCCCATTGCAGGCTGGGCTGAGGTCAGAGGTTAGGCAGTGTTGAGACCACATGCCATGTATGTGTACACAGTTCATCAGCACTGATGGATACCAGTCTGCAGGACCTCATGTGGTCACCTGACCAGAGGAAGCCTGTGATGCTCAACATGTGCAGAACACCAGCCCTGGTGGCATTGGGGTTGCATTGAAGAACCAGCTGAGCATTTCCTGTTTCACAGTTGTGAGGTCCTTTGGCAGTTTCTAGATGCCTAGGTACTGCTTAGCTTTAAGCCCTGAGGGAGTGCCATAATGTACAGGGATCTGAGTAAGTGATCCAAGAGACTTCTTTGTAATCCTCAGCCTTCTCTTGTGTTGCTACAGGAGGCTACTTTTTGTGTGGTCCTTCGAGGAGCTCGGCTGGGGCAGGCAGTGCTGAGTGATGTGTTACAGGCTGGCTGTGTCCCGGTTGTCATTGCAGACTCCTATATTCTGCCCTTCTCTGAAGTTCTTGACTGGAAGAGGTGGGTATATCATCTAGCGAACTGTAGCTGGTGGCTTGGCCAGTATTGGAAGGGAAAGCCACTTGGACCATTGTGATGCATACTCAGGTTTGAAGTGTGATGTGTGAAGCTTTTGAGCACTGTCAAGAATGCCACAGTGGCATTCCACTCTTGCCATTATGTAATGCTCACAGTCAAAATGCTGATGTGGGGAGGTGCAGAAGGAAATGGAGGTGGAAGGTAAGATTAATATACCTGATCCACATGCATGAGTATAACATAATGAAGCCCATCATTTAAGAAACAAGCATGACCTTGAGGGTGGCCAAGGCTGTGTGAGTGAGGCACATACTGCTTGGCACAGTTCTTCAAAGTATTGCTTATAGCCCTAGATTGGCCAAGAGGATTCAGATGCCAACACTGAACTCGTGCTAGGTGGCAACCCTGTGGTCCTCCAGGAAGCAGCCATTGCTTCACCATCATTCCCCAAATCATCTGTGTATCTGAAATAGATTAAAGTAAATATCTATCTATCTATCTATCTATCTATCTATCTATCTATCTATCTATCTATCTACCTATGTACATATTTATGTATGTATGTATGAAAATTTTATAGCCACTTAATTTTGGTAAGAGTGGCAATCAAAGGGTGATGGTATACTGTAAATTGCATTCAGGTTGCATGTGTAACAAATGCATAGAACATAAACAAATCTTCATATTTAGACTGGAGTCCCATGTTATGTTCATGCAAATACTTCAAAATTGAAGGCACCTTGGGACTGGGCCTCAGATAAGTGCTTCCTGGCCGCTGCTGTTGTAGCCTGTTTGCAGGACTGGGCCTAGGATAAAGGGACCCTGGCCACTGTTACTTTAGCTTGTTTGCTGTGTCTTCCATCAGACTTAGCACATTGGTTTAGAACAGTCCACAGAGTCCAGTGGGCCGGACCCACAGGATGGCTGTTTTTATAAATGAAGTCTTATTGAATCACAGCTGTACCCCTTCATTTGCTTGTGAAGTGCTGAGTAATTGCAGATACTGGGTAGCTTACAAAGCCTAAAATACTTACTCCCCTGTTCTTTCCACAAAGCAGTTGCCACCCCATGAACTGGTACAGTCTAGACACAGCTGGAAAGTTTCTTTCTTTATCCCAGGGATTCTGAGGTCCCAGGTAACTGGATTCATAACTACAGTCAAGAGCCACTGCTGTGGAGTTGGTGTGGGATTGCACAGTGTACTGGCTGCCAGTGGAGAGCCTGTACCTTGGTAAAAGCTTGGAAAATCCTGCTTGGTTGTGTTCACAGGGTGCCCTCTGGTCTTATTTGTTATTTTCACAGACTGGTGGCAGACTGTTAAAATTTAATTTCCTTGCTGTGTATCCCCTTTAACTCATGTCTTTGCCGCAAATATTTAATTGCTGTCTCCTCTCCCAACTCTTATGATAGTTGATTCAACTCCAATAACATAGGTGTTTGAACAACTTAAACAGTACCACTTGGCTAACTTACTCATCCATCTTACATTTATTAGAAAGCCTGCTGCTAATAAGATGGTATTTTACAGCCTAATAATAGTGATAATTTCTGCTTCTGAGGAGGTTAGAACCTAGTGGGGAAGAATAGCCAGGGATTCAGGGACAAATGCAGACCCTGCTTGATTATGTTCTCTTCACTTCCCCGTAACCTCCCCAAATAGCACGACCAACTGGAAACTGAGTGTTCAAATATCTGAGCCTATGGGGGGGACATATTATTCAAACCCTCACCATCACCATCAGTTATCGATTCTCCAAAAGGAGCGAGGTCAGGCCTTCCTTCAAGGAAGCTCTCTACTTAGTAATGGGAGAGCAGTGGACCCACAGTTCCCAGATGCTGTGATGTGATTGGTCAGACTCTGGCCGGGCAGTGCTAGGAGAGTGAGAAGACTGACATTGGTGAGGGTCTTGTAGGGCGGTGGTGTAGTGGGCATGAAAGGGTATTTCTACAGAGATCAAGGTCAGCTTCAGTGTGGTGTTATGGGTGGGCAACAGCAATGGAGTCAGGGGTCTGAGGTCAGATAACCAGCTCCTCCTGGCTGGCTTTGAAATTATGACAGATTGATTCATCTCTTTTGGTCCTCAGTCCTATTTCTGTTGCAAAAATCATTTACTTATTTATCAGATGTTCCTGAAGTCCTATCTGGATGGGCGACAGTACAGTGAGTGCTCTGGGCACAGTGGTGGGAAACCTACCCTAGTGGGCAGGAGTGGGAGCTAGATCTTAATGAGCATTTAATGCAAGTGTGCTTGCACTCCCTGCACGCTGTCCTTCTGGAAGTCAATGCCAGTCTCCCCTTCTCATTCCTCATACCCAGCCTGTGAATGAATCCCGTGGGGTGTGGGACATAGGGCACAGGGAGGCCCTCTCCTCTCCCCAGCTCCACTCTGATGTAGTTCTGCTGTCTCTGCAGGAGTTCCAGCCCTTCTTCCCACTCCTGTCTCTGCTTCCTGTCACTCGCTGACCCCGTAGACAGCACAGGCCTTACTGACCCCATAGACAGCAGGGGCCTTGCTGACCCTGTAGACAGCATGGGCCTGTTGGAGCTTATTTGGCTTTTCAGGCCTTTTTGCCTCCACCTCCTAGTGGTTTCCCATCTCAGCACCAAGTCCTCTATGTCCTCCAAGGTCCCATGTGTCTCACTGCAGCCCTCCCTCCCCCTCTCTGCTTGGCTCACATTCTTTTCCATCCTGTTTACTCTGTAGCAGCCACAGGGGCCTCCTAGCTGTTTCTGGACCATGCCCAACATGATGTTTCCCTGGCCTTTCACTCATTAGCCCCGTGCCTGGAGCTCTCTTCCCACAGGCCTTCTTATGCCCTGTTCACCCTCTTGCCTCTGATGTTCTCTGATGAATTGTCAATGCCCAGCACACAGTAGGTCTATCATAAGTAAATGCCGAATCAATGGATGGATTTGTGTAGAGGCTAAATGGGGGAAGTAATTGTTAATTCCGGGAGTGTGGAGAAGGGTAAGGTGGGATAGATAGGAAGGCAGCATTTCCCGTGTAAAGGTTCTGTGGTGAGACAGAACTTACTGTGGTTGGTGACAGTGATACCAGGGAGGACAGAACAGATGGGGAAGGATGTAGGATTAAAGGAGTTTGGGGAGTTTTGTTTCTGCTCCTGAGAAGGGAACAGGACAGTCTACAATGTTGCTTTCTGTAAAGGGCTGTGCATATGTAAACAGTGCTGCTGTCTCCAGGGCGTCCGTGGTGGTCCCGGAGGAAAAGATGTCAGACATGTACAGCATCCTGCAGAACATCCCACAAAGGCAGATTGAAGAGATGCAGAGACAGGTAAGAGGCCAAAGCTGAGACACCAGGCTGGGGAGAGGGGGTGGGGGGGTTCTGGAGCAATGGCTTGGACACAGAGGGTCTTCAAGTGCACAGTGGGGCTGTGTACTCATTGTATCAGCTATTGAGGAAGGGAGGGTTTGGTGAATTGTCTTAAGTTAGGGTTTCAGGCTATGCTGGGGGACCCCTGCTATGATTTCAATGTGCCAAGACAGTGACCAGGGAAGCAAGGCAGCATGTTTGTTTGGTTGTGTCCTAAGGAAGACAGACAGCCTTTGTGACAAATGGTCTTGTTCTCCATTGCTATTTTCCTGCCTCCCTCTAAAGACCTATCTTTTGACACCCTGCCTGGGTTTTGATTTCTAGGAGGACTTCACTGGGTTCCCTTTAGGTCTCATTGCTCTCTCTTTCTTAAAGAAGTCTAAGGGGGCTTCATTGTCAAACAAGTTAAGAAAATCTAAAAGATGGCCCTGAAATTGGTGCTATGCTCATCTCTGTTTGTTTTTATGGATTTTTAGTGTTTAATCTTCATCAGAATTATCTACATGGGCTAGAGAGATGACTCGGTCAGTAAAATGCCTGCCACAAAAGCATGAGGATCTGAGTTTGTATCCTTAGGACTCATGTTAAAAGCCAGGGTTGGTGACACAGACCCCTAACTCTAGTGCTGGTGAGGTGGACACAGGCAATCCCTGAAGCTCATTCTAGCGACAGGCTTAAGGGTAAGTGAGAGACCTTGCCTCCAAAATATAAAGATAGGGAGGTGTTTCGGGGTTTCTATTACTGTGAAGAGACACCATGACCATGGCATCTATAAAGGAAAACATTTAATGGGTGGCTTACAGGTCAGAGGTTCAGTCCATTATCATGATAGGACATGGCAGTGTGCAGGCAGACATGGTGCTGGAGAAGGAGCTGAGAGTCCTATATCTTGATTTTCAGGCAGCAGGCGTCTGTGTGTCCACACTGGGACTATCTTGAGCATAGGAGACCTCAAAGCCCACAGTGACACAATTTCTTTAGCAAGTCTACACCTACTCCAACAAGGCCACACCTCCTAATAGTGCCACTCCCTATGAGCTTATGGACATCAATTACATTCAAACTGCCACAGGAGGAATTAAGGACCTAGTGTTATAGACAGCTGGTCTACACACACACACACACACACACACACACACACACACACACACGAGTAGGTGTCAGAGATGAGTGAGAAGAGACTTGGAGGTTCTCAACATACAGCCAATGTTTTTAGCCTGGTTCCTCACTCTTGGCCAAGTGACTAGAGAACAGACTATATGGATGAAGGCAAGTAGTCACCCATCTGTGGGATAAGGAGACCCAGAGCTACTTGCTTCGTAAGTGCATTCTCAGCCTGTCTAGCTGTTTGCCCACCTTTACTTTGCTCACGCCCTCCTGGTCCTGCAGCACCAGGTACCCTGACTCCCTCTGCTTTACAGCATCCATATACTGTGGATGTATTTTCTAGTCTTTTTACCATGGGCTATTAGAATCATGTAAAATTTTCTATCACATTTCACTCCAGGGATTTAGAAGAGAAGGAAAAATGGCTGTGCCTGGTCCTACCCTTTGTACTTGGATATTCATGTTAGTAATTTTTCATCACATGACAAATACTGAAGAAAATTACATTACAAAGAGAAAAGGGTTGCTTTGGGCTCACAGTTCAGCAGATTCCAGACTATGACTGGGTGGACTTGTTGCTGGGTAGAAGGACAGTAGGTCATGGTGGAGAGCCGAGCAGAGCAGTTCACTTTGTGGACTTGGTGAAGAGAGGAGAGGAAGGGCCAGAGCCCCATGGTGTCCTTCAAGGGTGCATCCCTATGACCTGAGCACACACACTCCTTCTAAAAGTCCTACCACTTCTCCATTCTGCCACTCTGGGACTAAGCCTTTAACATAGGCCTTCAAGCTTTAGTGACACCAAGATCTTTTCACACAGTAACTCACCTGGGTAGAATGCCAGCTGTGTACCCTGGGGCTAGGCTCTGCCTTCTGTGGGCCTCAGAAGGCCCTTCTGCAGAGCCTTGTGCCATCCTGGTAGAGAGCAGGTTGCAGGTTTCTGATGCTGATAGCCTCCCCATTAGTTTCTTATAGCTGGGAGTTCCTGGGCTTCCTGTCAGTATTCATCACTGACTTCATGTAAGCCAGGAAATTTGAGAATCAATTTAGAGTTTGCCATATTTTTACCGTAACCCTATAGCATTGGGGAAAGGTGTTCCATGAAAAGTCTGGGTGTTTGTGTTCTTTGTGTCACTTTTAAAAATTATTTTTAGTTTTTAGACAGGATCTCATTATGTAGACCAGATTGGCCTGGAACTTGCAGAGATCCACCCTTCTTCACCTCCAGTATGCCAGGACTGAAGGCTTTGACCTCCACACCCTGCCCAATGGTATCTTTGTTTACTAGATTAATTATAGAATCATACACTAAGTAAGATTTCACCTCACACAAGATTCTACTATAGGAATGTTAGGGAAAAACTGGGCTTGGGGTGAAGATGAACACATTCTGTCCAGTCTCCTCTCTGCCCCGCCAGCCACTCGTGGAGAAAGAGATTGTTTGCATTTTTGAGCAGAGCATCTCCTGACAGCCCACAGAATGGCAAAGTTGCTTGACAGGATCAGGGGTGGGAGCTGCAGGCCTGGGAGCTAGTTGTCAGTGGCAGGCTCGGAGTCACTGGGACAGCTGAGATGGAGTGAGAGAAGGGCATGTAAAACGTGCTGCTCGTTGGTTATTGGGATTGAAGACTGGGACTGTGCCCTGGTCCTGTCCATACTCCTTGTGTTGCCATCCTGAGCATGGAGCTGTCTAGGCTTTCATTTTATCTTCTGTGGAATGAAGAGCTTCACTGAATCACCTCTCATGTTCCAGGCATCCATTTAGCAACTCTGTGGAAGTCTTGTCACTGGCAGGAATGTTACCTTCCCGATCAGCACTGATGTTTCTGACATCATCTCTTCTCTCCCTGAACATGTTCTCCCCTGCTTCCCTGTGTCCAAAGTGCTCTAAGGTGATGCATCTGCTTGCCTGTCTTTCCTGTGGACTCAGGGTTCCCCAAGTGGCCCCTTTTGTCTCCCACCCCCCACATTTCTGAACTGGACTTGTCTCAACTAAACATGCTTGAAATAATTCCCAATTTGATATAAAGGCTGACAAAATTTAACTCCGGCTAGAAACCATTTGCACCCTTCCCTCCCACAAGTTGTAACAGCTACCAATGTCTCTTGACATTGCCGGATGGGTGGGAGCACTCAGCTTCAGTTGAGAACCAGGAATTCCATTGATAATGTGTCGTCTCTCCATTTGGAGAGTTATTAGTCAGTGTCCCCACACTATAAGGCAGTATTGGAGGCAGTGAGCTTAGAGAAAGTTCAGAGGCTCACGTCTGATGTCTGCCAGATTACTGGTCTGGCCTATGATGAGGCTGTCATGGTTAATGTGGGGTGAGTGGTCAGAGAGAGCAAGAGGGGTGCTGTTGAGCTCCATAGCCTCCTTTTACGGCACACTCCACTGACCTGAGAACCCCTCACTTGGCTTCACCTCTTAAAGGTCATAGTGCTTCCTTCCCAGGGCCACGGTCTGAGGACCAAGCCTTTATATGTGTGTCTTGGGGGACTCACAAATGTTTGTCGACGTGTGCGAGCTTGCTCTGGAACTGCATATGCTGTCATTTGCCTTCTGTTTATGTCTAGATTGAGCTTGACCTTGGTTGGAGTGTTAAAACTGCTCATATACCCCAGTGAATCCTCCCCAGGGAGCTCAGCTCGGTTTCTTTGTGTAATCTAGGCATATGTCTCTGTAGTCACTGGGCCTCAAACCTACAGGTCAGCATGAACTGACACAGGGCTTGGTCATTCCCAGGCATTCAGAGCTAGAGCTTAATGAGCTGCAAGAACAGTTGTCGCCAGCAGGGGTCTCCATCCACTTTTAAGTGACTAATTTTCCTGCCAAGTATTTAAATCTGGGGGAAATCTCAAATGCCAGGAGCTGCTTGCTTCTGAAGGGACATGGTCCTTATTGTTGCTCTCTAGAGACCATGTTGTTCAAGTGACAATTCAGGCATTTGCTCTAGCAGCATAGGACAGCACCCAACACATACACACACACACACACACACACACACACACACACACACACACACACACTCACAAAACACATTAAAAAACATCACAGAAACTTTTTTGTGACGAGCACATGGGGCAGGGGTATTCAAAACTAGCTAAACAGAAAAATCTAAAAAGAAAGCCATGATCTGAGTGTTTGGTACACTCATTATCATTCTAAATGTAGCTGGGAGTTTAGTTGTCCTAAAGGAGAAAGGCATGGAGGCAGCCATTCCTAAGGATAGGCTTTAATTGAGCCATAGCTGTGAGGAAGCCAGTTGTTATGAAGAAAGTGTCTCTGGCAGGTAGTCCTGAAAAGGGCCTTGTCAGCGGTGTGAGCACACACACAGCCTTGGGAAGTCTAGTGGTGTCTTGCACAGCTTTAGGAGGGAAGTTAGAAGCAATCCCTTCAGATAGCAGATACGGCAGCTGGTTCTCAGATGTACTTTTAATGTCCTTTGTGCTAATTAACTAGTTAATTGACTTACTGAAGCCCTACTGTTCTTTCAGGGGCAGAGTAGGGGCCATAATAAAGCTCTGTGACTCTGCTCTTGAGGTTCAGTATGTACCTTCAAAGCTGTTTTGAAGATGGTGTTGGAGTTTCAGAGGGCACTACACTTTGATGGAAAGGATGGCACTTAGGCTGCAGCTGCCAGGGTCGGCTGGCTGGGAGATGGCCTTAAAGATGAGCTACGTTTCATTAAGAGGCAGGAGGAAGTTTGCAGCTCAGTGTGTCTCTGCAGTCAAATGGCACATTTATACCTCGTCTCCCTTGAATCACAAGAGAAAGCATGCAGGCTCAGGGCTCAGAAGGCTGTCTAGTTAGAAATGCTTGTGTGAAGAGAGAAAGGTGTAAGTGGACCCCCAGTTTA